TGAAATTTGTATACTATAATATTATACTATCATTATATTACTTTATATATTGGGAGTACAAATTAGTTCGGTCCGTTTTTTTGTGTTCAAAAATGTATTTGTTTCAAAACAAAATGAATGAACAGATTAATTAAAGTATTGTCCATCACTGGCTACTACTTTTTCCCAGGCAATTTTCGACTTCCATCTCGAAAAAATGACTCGTCTTTGGAGGCGATTCAATTTTGGAGAAATGAACCGGTGACTTGTCAAATCGTGCTGCATCCTTCGGAACAACCAGTAATCAGAAGGAGCAATGTCCGGAGAATATGGCGATAAAACATCCCATTTGAGCGTTTCCAAATATTTTTTTACGACTTTTGCGACATGAGGACGAGCGTTGTCATGAAGAAAAATAACTTTATCATGTCTTTGCTCATATTCCGGCCGTTTTTCTCGCAATGCACGGCTCAAACGAATCAATTGTAGCCGATCGCCCGTAATGGAATCGCCAGGTTTCAGCAGCCCGTTTCAGCAGCTCATAATAAACAACACCCTTTTGGACCAGATACAGAGCATGATCTTCGAACCATGAATGTTCTTTGGTGTTGATGTTGAGGTCGATGGCAATGATTGACTGGGCTTAGCGTAGTATTTTTTCTTCTTGGGGTTGTCGTAGAATATCCACTTCTCATCTCCAGTCACAATCCGATGCAAAAAACTTTTTCTTTCTTGTCTTTGAATCAGCTGTTCGCAAGTGAAAAATCACCTTTCAACGTCTCTCGGTTTCATAAGGCACCCAATTTCCTTGTTTTTGAATTATTCCCATGGCTTTCAATCATGCAGAAACGGCTTGTTGAGTTACTCCCAATGATTCTGCAAGCTCCTCTTGCGTTTGACTCTGGTCTTCTTCGAGTAATGCCTCTAATTCTTTGTCTTCGAATTTTTTTGCTGTCCAGAGCGAGGCTTGTCTTCAACGCTGAAATCTCTATCCTTGAAACATCGAAGTCATTCCCTACATGATTTATCAGTTGGAGCAGTGTCACCATAAACTTCGACAAGCATTCGATGGGCTTCGGCTGCACTTTTCTTCCAATTAAAACAGAAAATTAGAACCTCCCGCAAATGCTGCTTGGTTAACACAAGATTCGACATTTCAAACACAGTAAAAATCAAAGTTTTTGTATGAAACTCAAAGCGATATAAACTGAATATTATTAGCAGATGTCTAATCTCTCTGAAAACGCCAAAATCAGCTGTCACTATGTACCATTCACAACAGCCGGAGCCATCTTTTAGAAAACGGACCGAACTAATTTGTACTCCCAATATAATAACATTATTATATGTAGCTTATATTAGTTAAAAATATAGAATGTTATTTGTTATGTATTAACATCTGTTATAAAGTCATTAGTATAGACTATGTATATAATTTCAATGTTAACATTATAGTAAAAAAATTACTGTATATTATATTCTTCTGTATCTTGTACCATTCATTTTCATCAAACAAAATAATTGCTTAATAAAACATTTGTATACAATTAACGTATGACTTTCAAAGGATGATTCAGTCATGTTCTGTGGCAGACAGGTTGCCAAAAGTTCGTGCCAAATATATTTTCCAATTACAGGCACGTCTTCTAATGGTAACTTGAAGGATACCAATAATGTTAAGTACAGACCATCACCTTCTTGTCCACCGCTAAATTTTACAGACAATAAACCATGTGGTTTATCATGGTACATCGTGAACACATTGAAAACAACCGCTTTGATTTGATGAAGATGAAATCTTAGCAACGGTCTATCATATGTTAGGATTAACATAATTCTGTGAGTGTGTGTCTAATGCGGTCACTGAAGCGGATCCAAAGAGACAATCGGTTGCCATAACTGGTCTGTCCAAACTGTGGGCAGGCGGCGTCATTATAAAGTTACAATATATAATATATAAATGTTGAATTATGATTTTTCTTTATTTTGAAAAACTATGTTCGTTATATTATAGTACATATATACAATATTATAGTACATATATTATAGTAATTAAAATTGAATTTTTGACAAAGAGAATCATAACTGAGTAGTTTGTACCTCTAAAATATTTACTTAACCTTCCCTGGTGGAAAAATTTTAGTTTAATTTCATGTGAATTTACATATTCTCACTGAAATTATTTTACATTTTGGAACACTTTTCAGCAAAATTTTAGCATTTTAGAAAAATTTCAGTTTATAATTTCAGCGATTTTTTGCTGAAAAATTCATTTTCAACCAAATTTCAGAGAAATTTCAGTAAAAATTTCAGAGAAATTCTGACAAAATTTCAGAGAAATTTCAGATCAATTTTAGAGAAATTTCAGCGATTTTTCAATATTAACTGAAAAATTCATTTTTAGTGAAATTTCAGCAAATTTTTAGCAATTTCACTGAAATGTTGCAGCGAAATTTTTTCACCAGGCAATTATTATAAATATTTTATATATTACAAATATTATAAATATATTATAAATATTTTAATTTTTTACCTCATATTTTCTTTAAAAAATGAATTTTCTAAATGTTCAGCTGTTATATTTTGTAACCTCATTAGTCACCACATTTTATTTTCTTGTTCAATGTTAATTGGCCCTTGCCGCGGAGTAGCAGCAATTCCGACCAACCACGTTTTATTTTATTCTCGCATTTCCCGCTCAGTCACGAACAGTCACGAAGAATTCAGATTCATGATTAGACACTAGCACTGAAATGCTAATTTTGGTTGGAAATTTGAGATTGAAGATCTGAGATTTGAGATTTGAAACCAATTTTGAGATTTGAGAAACGACTATGAATTCGGATCTTATAATTTCATTTATTTCATTATTTATAATTTCATTAATTTTCACTTTATTTCGAGATACACAACCGAAGAATCGAAAAACAATGCCACATTACGTGCGATTTTAGCGTGCCCTGTTCACACAATGCGGAAAAATGATAGAGTAAATACGTTAAAGCAGTTAAAAAAATTATTGTAATATTGTAAATATTACTTGTAAAATATTAAATAATGCAACAGTGATAATTGTGTTTTTACAATTTGATAAATTATGTTTCATTTCAATAAGCAAATTATTAACATAAAGTTACTAGTGTTTAAATTATTGGGTCATCTAAAAAGTATCCGCGGTACTTTGTCACTAGATATATGACCATCAACACACATCTAGTTCATCCTGAATACATTTTTGATGTATTATGTAAACATAGCATATAAAACTTGATGCAAAAAAGTGCGGAATAGCGTTGATTGGTTGCTTTAATGATGCATTCTCTATTTTGCAATCCTAGAGTCCCTATAACAAAATTTAGACAATCCTGAAGCGATTGCTGATTGGTTCCGTCATTAACAGTCAATTGACGCTATCGTTAACTAGTGACAGCCTATGGCAAGATAATCTTGGAAGAAAGTGCAGCTTTCATTAGCTATCATTAGTCAACGATAGTGATAATTGTCAATAAAATGTTAGAGAATCCCGTAAGCAATATAGATTAGTATATATTGTACATTATATAGGTACATCATTATATAAATGATTGCAAGACATATTGACACGCTGTCAGACATATTTTTGCTCGCTTTACAATTATATTCTATCTTTCATTTTGGATTATTTAAATAGTTTGAATTCAACTCTATTGTTGCGTATAACAGCAAGCAGTCATTTGAATTGCGCGACAAACACGGCGATATATTTCCGGTTTTGATTGTGACGGACGGACATGCACGCAGTGTCCAGACTCTGTTAAAGACTTCGCACAATAAAAGGAACAGGTAACAGAGAACAGAATAAAAATTTCAACTTATCGGAACTTGTGTCCATATGATTTCTGATAGGTTGAAATTCTTATTCTCTGTTCTCTGTTTCCTGTTCCTTTTATTGCGAAGTCTCTAACAGAGTCTGGACACTGCATTCGCGCGCATGTCCGTCCTTATAGAAACTCTACGCAATCCTATTCCGCACCGTGTGATTTCGCCCTAAAGGTGCCGTGTAAACGTAATCAATTATTGGATTTACATTAGATCCGACGAGCGTTGTACGACATCAAAAAATAGAATTTTGCTTTGTATCATCAATACGAAATAAAATTCTGTTTTTTGATTGGTTGCAGAACATCGTATGACGCATGTCGGATTTAGTGTGAAGATCACTTCTACATTGGTCGTATCGTAGCATCGGAAGTGTCGTAAGCATCATGAGACTTTAAAATTGAAGCATCGGAATTTTTGGCTGAAGCAACAAACTTGTGACTTGTGACGTCTATGATACGATAATGTAGAATGGCCTTGAATCCATCAAACCTCTGTTAGGCCGGGTTCACACTTTGACGGAAAGCGAAAAAGCGGAAGCCAATCGGAATTCGCAGTAATAATTTCCGCTTTTCCGTCACGGTGTGAACCCGGCCTTACACGACACGCTTTACGCCGAAATTATAAGATCGATGTTATGAAATTGGCCAATCATAGCTATTCCTTTGAAGAATGGAATGACTGTGATTGGCCAGTTTCATAATATCGATGTTATAACTTCTACGTAAAGCGTACCTTGTAAATGTAATTCAGGCTATTATACTCCTTCTAGGTATTTCATATGTTCATGGTTTGCCTTTTTTGTCGAGTACCAGTGCACCAATGCCACCAATCCGTAAGAAATGCAACAATGGTATGTTCTGTTGATCACAAAATAGTGGTGTGGTTTGTGTCAGTATAATATTTCCTGTATAACTTTTATTGGTCTTCTCTATTTGTGTTATTTAAATAAGAATGGTTTCAAAATTGACGCTTTACTAAACGTGAATTTACGTATTTTGTTAAAAAATTGTTAAAAGGTAAGTTCGACGAAAAAAGATGATTTATGCGTGATATGTAATGATTTATTTATACTTACTAAGCTCCGTTTATATTAATGTAGTTTTTTTATATCATTCTCATAGAATCTCAATAGAAAACAGCAGTCTAAAAAGTACAAGGGAAATTTATGAAAATAACGAGTTTTAAATTGAAGTTCTTTTGCATTCTCACACACACTGAAAGCTTCATATAATTCCAGCCAAAAATCTAGTGAGTATCATTAAGGACAGTATTAAAACATTATAATTGAATTTCTCTATTTTAAGTATCCTAATTTTTATTCTTTTATCTAATATCTTGTGCGGTGGTTTTTTATGGTCTTCTTTTCATACGTTTTGATTTATAAACCACGTTCGTTTTTATGATATTTTTATGGTATTTTTATTCTTTTATTTAATAATAGGAATAAGCAGAGACTGAGAAAATAAATGTTACTTGTCTTTGCAATTAAAAATATAGAAATAATTTTCCTCCACGAACTAAATTTTTTAATATATTTTTATTTATGAAAAAAATTAGACATTAAATTATCATTATATGAATGTGTCATGTTTAATATATGAATATATTCTCTTTTTATATGTTTATCTTTTTATATTAAATACTAATTTTGATTCACTTTATAATATTTCTATTAAAATTTTTTACTGATTTCTACTAAGTAAAAGTAAAATATTATTGTAATTCAATTGTTTATTAAGATGTAAGAACTCATATACATTGAAAGAAACTCAAGTAGTAATAGATCAGTATTCTATTAAACATGTAGTAAATTCTAACATATGTGTACTTTGCACTTCAGAACGCATAGATAAAATACAACAAATTAGTATCTGACATCAAACATTTTACAATAAATCATTTAGTACCATACCAATCCATTCATTGCTCAAGCTTCTATTATAACGCAGAATTATTGTTTTTAATACTAATTAGCAATGATGAGCTCATTACGATCGCCAGGAAAAAGTGAAAGATTAGATAAACTACACGATATTTGCAATCAACTGTTATTTACACAAGCGCCTTTAGATTTTAATTTTGCTACTAACTAATAAAACATTAATAATATTAAAACAAAAAGAAACTACATACTAACAAATAATCTTGAATGCAATTACTTTTTAATAATTTCAAATCTTAACTTATATATATATTATATTTATTGTATTAGGTGTTGGAATTAATTCGTAGCGTTTTACAAGTGATGGGAAATACTTTCATTAATGTATTTTTTAATGCTCATGTGAAATAAATAACATTCTTTCATTAAAAAACGCTACGAATTAATTCCAACACCTAATATATAGAATTTTACTTGACTATTTAGACCTAATAATTTATTATAATTCAATTTCTGTAATGAAGTTCTACGTTTAGTAGAACAGAATCAGCTACAATCAATCATACATTGTTATTTGATATTTGTTTATAATAAGAAATCTTAAGGAAGATTTTTGAAGATGACTTTGTTTTAAGATAAATTTTTTATTGTGTTTTTATCAATGACTCTGACCGAAATTATATTTCGGATTACACATTTCGGCTTAATTAAGACCATGATCTGAGACTATCCAATTTTCAGTTTCGTTATTGGTTCCAATTCTTCTTAGTATAATGGTGACTATTACAGGCATATAATTGAAAAACTAACCGAAAAGAATCTGCTAATGGTGTTATGGCAAATATATTAAAACAATTGGAATCAAAAGTTGGATTTAATCTCAGATCGTTATTCAGATGGAAATTTTTTGGTCGAGTCCCTGATGTTTATACTAAATTTATATGAAAGGTTCTTTCGAGTAAGAGACATAAATGATACAGACCCTATAGCAATAAACAGAGTTTGGCCATAAGCGATTTTGTTAAAATCTTATGAAAAAGAAAGGTATATATTTCTCTCTCTCTCTCTCTCTCTCTCTCTCTACATATATATTATATATATATATATGTAGAGAGAGAGAGGGGGGGGAGGGGGAGGAACGCACGCACGCACGCACGCACGCACGCACGCACGCACGCACGCACGCACGCACGCACGCACGCACGCACGCACGCATTCTCAAAAAGGATAGGAGCTACTTTGGAGGCGTAGAATGGGTCGAGAGGAGAAAAAAATCTTACACTATTTTGAGATATTCGCTGTAGTTTTCGAATTAAAACAGGAAACGTCTAAGTCAATGTGCGGTGAGGCCGCGAGAATTCGTAGCACAGCCTATCTCACTTGAGCCGCCGCCGCAGCCGTTGTCGAATAACGCACGATTTTTCTTAATACTTGTTTAATTTAATGCAAAAATGGTTTAATAATCCGGATTTCAAATATGATACTGTATGTTTTTTTAATCGCTGAACATGCAATAGTTCATTTAATCCTACGATATACGCTTTAAGAAATATAGCCTAAATAATGTGAAAAAAATTACCAAATTTCGAGTTCAAAGGTTCCAAGCGTTTAAATAGATCGTTGATCTATCTCTCTCCCCTCAAATTGTAGATCTGTTCGCCCAGAACAAGATTTAGTTGGAATTTTTTTGGAACCTCCTACAGGGTCTTTAAAAGTTGCATTTAACTAGATTATAAGACGTTTTTAAGGAGAGAAAAAATTTTTTTTCTTTAAAAAAGTTTTAAAGTAAATCGTTTTGTGGTTTTTACATTATTTAGTACTTATTTTATTTTCTAATAAAGAGTTTTTTATTGCTAAATTGAGGCATTTGATTTGAGGATGTCAAAACTACAAAGCTATTTACTTTAAAACTTTTTTAAGGATAGAAAAAAAATTTTTTTTATTGTTTTATAATCCAGTTAAATGTAACTTTTAAAGCCCCTGTAGGAAAATTCTAATTGGATCTTGTGGGTGAACAGATCTACAATTTGAGGGGAGTCACGATCTATTTGAACATTTGGGACCTTGCTAAAATCGACCTTGAACTTGAAATTTGGTCATTTTTTTCACATTAATCGGGCTATATTTCTTAAGGCGTATATCATAGAGCTAAATGAATCGTGTTCATTGCATCGTGTTGAGTGATTAAAAAACATACAGTACCACATTTGAAATCCGGATTATGCATTTTTGCATGAAATTAAATGTATTAAGGAAAATCGAAATTTTGATTTAAAAATTGTTCATTAGCGACCGCTAAATGTTAATATTTTTTGATAAAAATTTAAGAGTGTTCTTTTGGCATGAAATGAAAGCTTTTGAGCTATAAGTGATCGATTAAAAAAAAAATTTTTTTTTGGCAGTTTAATATACGTATAAAAGTAAAAAATATATCAAATATATAAATGTAATAACAATAAATAAATGAAATAATTATTTTAAAAAGTAACTATTTTAGGAACTCCTTTAATTCATATAATAAAAATAAATTTAATATCACGAGGCATTAGGAGTCAGCGCTAATATTGATTTCCGCAAAAAAAAAAAAATTCTGGACAAAATAAATTTATTTAGATCTTTATTATTGTTTTTTTTTTTGCGCAAATCAGTACTGGCGCTGACTCCTAATACCTCATGATGCTATTAGATGTTGGAATTAATTCGTAGCGTTTTTTAATGAAAGAATGTTATTTATTTCACATGAGCATTAAAAAATACATTAATGAAAGTACTTCCCATCACTTGTAAAACGCTACGAATTAATTCCAACACCTAATATATTTATTCTTATTCTAAAAAATATATAGCGCAAAAGTACGAGAGTCGTTTGAAAAATTTTGAGCCTTAGTGAAGATAGCATTATTTGTCAAAATCATTCTAATACTATGATCGTACATGTTTTGCAAGATATCTGTGAAAGTTATAGCTATTTTGGATGCTCAGTTGTTGTTTAAGAATCATTTGTGCCAGTCAAATGTTTTCGTTTGATGAAAATTTATGTTCTCCGAGCCTAACTTTGAGCTTAGGAAACAGGAAAAAATCATTAGGGATCAGATCTGATGAATAGAGTGGATAGTTAATTAATTCGAACCGCAATTCGTAAATTTTTGTTATAGCGATTGTCGATATTCAATTTTGTCCAGTTTTACAAAAACATTGTCATCGACTGGCACAATTGACTGCCAAACAATAACTAAGCGTCCACAATGACTACAATTTTCACAGATATATTACAAAACATGTATGATTATAATACCAGAATGGTTTTGATGAGTGATGCCATCATGTTAAGGCTCAAAACTTTTCAAATCCTCGTATATGTACCTCTTTCTCGTAACACACACACACACGCGCGCCCGCACGCGCACACACACACACACACGCGCGCGCGCGCGCACACACACACACACACCCCCACACGCGCACACACACGCACACACACATACAGGGTTGGCCATAGTCGACGGAAAGATCTGGCAACACTAACTGTTGACAGAGATGTTAGATCGAGTAACGTCGTTTCCCATGATTGAAAAAAAAAACATCTTTCCGTCGAATATGGCCAACCCTGTACACACATACACACACACACACACACACACATATATACTATTTTATTTTAATATTGTTTTATTCTATACCTTTGATTAAAATTTTAGAGAGTAAGGCATTGTTAGAGTGAGATAGTTTAGATACAGGCGGATGGTATGTATATCTTTCTTTCTCATAAAATTTTGACATAATCGCTTAAGATTAAATTTTGTTATAGGGTTTCTACAATGAATAATTACATTTTTTTTAGTCACATCTTTGTTTCCAACATTAAATAAAGACGATTGTTATGTTACATTGACTACATTCGTTCTGCAGCTTTACAGTAGTTACAGCGCTTTAAGCAATGGATGTGTTCAGTCGAACGCAACAATTTTGCAACAATTTTATGATCGTCTGCTATCCTAGATGCATTCAGCGTCTCAACATGTTCATTCAGCAGTTACCATGATTTCTAGCAAAGTAAAGCTACGTTACTCAGAAGACAACAGTTTTATAACCGTTTAATGATTTAAAAAATCACGCATGACTAGCCTTAACATTACAAGAATTATATTAAGAATCTTTATTTTAGACCGTATATGTGAGAACACAATACTAGAATACATCATGAAAACATGATTCAATAATACAAATTAAAAATAAAAGTTTAGAAAGGCTATGAATCAAATAACAACAAAGTAAATGTATAAATAAAAAACAAATATAATTATCATGATCTAATATAAATAACAAATAATAAACATCATTTCGAGCCCGATGGGTCATCTTCAAT